CGCATCGGAGCTCGCATCGCCCGCATGGACACCAACTACAGGCGCTCGATTCCAGCGGAAGAGCGCCTGTCTATCTGTCTGAGGTTAGTGAGAATTTTCTGATAAAATATCTACAAATACAATAGGAAATAGCGTCCCTAGCATGGATCACGGCCCGAGAGATAGGAGCAGCCAAAAGCAGTAAACGTTGAATATACGTTTTAATTAGGACATAAAAGTTAATTGTAATAACATTTCAGGCGGGAAATATACCCCACTAATGTCATATCAGAGGTCTGTTTGGTGATTAAATAGATATTTAAATTTTTGTCGGACTTTTTCCTTCCAGCGCGGAGCTCCAATGCTAACCGGCTAACCACGGGTGTTGAGCGGCGCTGAACACCCGTGAACCCAAGGAGGCTTTTGTTACAGACTTTCTCTGTTATAACGATTGTATTTAGAGTAATCATTAATACAATTGATATATTTGCTATGGCCCTCGTTTGTGCATTTGAAGCCATTTTGAAGGTGCATTGTGTCACTGTAGTGAAGTTATTAGAAAACTGATCAATTAAATCAGCATTGTCTGCTACTTAGTACTTAATATATTCAGATTCCCAAGTGATTAACCCCCCTGTGATTTCACAAGAGAGGGTACATTTCCATTGTTGGTGCAATTCCTGAAAACAAATTTACACAATCATATTGTATGATTCATTAAAAATATTTTTGTATATTGCTGAGTCGTATTTGTATCATTGTAGGTTTCTTGCTACTGGGGACTCCTTCAGGACCATTGCAAGCAGCTTCAGGGTGGGCATCTCCACCATCTCCAGCATCATCCCAGATGTGGTGGCAGCCATCTGGGACGGCCTGGTGGAGGAGTTCATGCCTGTGCCTGGAGAAGAGGAGTGGAGGTTGTCTGCTATGGAGTTTGAGGAGCGGTGGAACTTCCCTCTTTGTTGTGGTGCTATAGATGGGAAGCACATCAACCTCAAGGCACCCCCCAACTCAGGCTCCCTCTACTTCAACTACAAGGGTAGGCACTCCTTGGTCCTCCTTGCTATTGTAGATGCCAACTACAAGTTCAGGGTGATTGACGTAGGGGGCTATGGCAGAACCAGCGATGGAGGGATCCTGGCCAACTCCACCTTCGGTCAGGCTCTGCATGCGGGAACACTTCCTCTGCCAGCTGACCGGCATCTCCCTGGAGCAGAGCGCCGAGGCCCCCTGCCCCATGTCTTTGTGGCAGATGAGGCCTTCCCACTGCGGAGGAACTTAATGCGGCCTTTTCCAGGAAGTGGCGGCGCTAACCCTGGACAGCGCATTTTTAATTACCGCCTCTCCCGAGCCCGGCTGGTGGTGGAGGATGCGTTTGGCATTTGGTCATCGCAGTGGAGGATGTTTCGTCGGGACCTCGAGATCCGGCCAGAAGTTGTGGAGAAGTGCGTGAAGGCCACATGTGTTCTCCACAATTTCCTGAGGGTGTCTGCTCCGGTCCCAGTCCTGAGAGGAGCTGCAGCGCAGGGAGATGACTGTCTTCCAGGTGTCGGGAGGATGGGTGCCAACAACGCCACCAGAGAGGCACTGCAGGCGAGGGAGGCGTTCATGGCCCACTTCTGTGAGGAGGGGGCAGTAGCATGGCAGCCGACAGAGTAGTCAGATCCTCACGGGACTGACCCAAAACGGTTCTTTTAAGAGCCACCCATGAAAACTAAAGAGCATTTCTTCTTTAATAATATTTGAGTGTCTGTATTTGCCAATGCATTACTTTTGAATATCAGGACACAAATACTACAACATCCTGATCATGAATTCTAGTCTTGGATAAAGACCATGTCTATGTTTATCCAGTATGTTTTTTAACCATTCACCTGTGCCCTTCTTGTTTGCAGGTAATAGTTCCAGATTCTGCAGCTGTTTGAAACATGTTCAAGCATGCCTCAATTACAAGTTTGTCCAAACAGATATGCCTGTACATATTTCTATTGTCTCAAAGTACAGACCAAATAAGTATTTGAATAGTTATTTAACTTATTTGAACACATACCTTAATGAAAACCTGTTTTTAAATGACCAAATCTTAAGTTATAATTTTTTAATGAAAATGTAAAAACAAATATATACACAAAAAAGAACAGGAACAGGAATAAAAAGGACCTTGCTTGGAGGAGGAGGAGGAGTGCAGGAAGGAGAAGAGTCTGTTTCCTCCCCTGCAAAAGAAGCCACCTCATAGCTAAACACTACTACTAAGTGTGCTCCAATTGTTCCACATTAAGCGTAAATGCGCTGCTCTCATAAAGTAATTTATGAATTTGGAATTTGACAAATTCTAAAGATTGAGGTGGCACCTTATCCAGGAGAGGAAGCAGAGATTGGAGGAAGAGCTCATTTCGTGATGGAGCTGGAGCTGCAGTCTGCCGCAGGAGGGCCATCAGCTCCAGCTCCAAGCGCGATAGCTCCTGGGCGGAGGTGTCCTGGGTGGTGCGCTTCCTCGCTCTCTTCATTTGTGGACCTGCAAACACCACAAGACAATGGCTTTAAAAATATAAAGTCATGAGTATGTAGGATCTGATAATCTATGAACAACTTTTAAATCCTTTTCTTATGTTAAATAAAATAACTAGATCCTATGTAAAAACAGTATTCAATTTGTATATTTCACTTTTTGATGCCCACATATTCAAAAGTATTTGTGAAATGTTTAATATAACGTTTATACATTCACAACAATAAAATTGATTTCCTACACACCTGTAGGTGCAGCAGCAGGGGAACGACCGGCAGCAGAGGAAGAACCAGCAGCAGAGGACGGTCCAGGAGCCGAGGACAGTCCAGGAGCCGAGGACGGTCCAGGAGCCGAGAACGGTCCAGAGGCCGAGGACGGTCCAGAGGCCGAGGACGGTCCAGCACTCGGCTCTGTCTCTGAACTTGACTCCGTATCAGCGTCATCTGTTATTAAATAAATTACTTTCACTTCACAGCACGTGTACAATCATTTTAAGAACGTTAGTACTCATATAAATAACCTTGCTATAAACAATAATGACAACAAAACAGTTTAGTGGGCAGCTGCATGACTTCATTCAATACATTGTTTTAGCTACAGACCTCCTGCAACTGACACCTCCGCTGCTGCTGGTTCTTCCTCTTGGAGGTGGCTGTCCCCCCTCTCCTCCTCGGCCCTGTGTGCTGTCATGTTACCAGTAGATGGCCTCGGTGTTACGTAGGGCTCGAGGAAGGAGAGCGATGCCAAGTACCTCCACCTCTGCACTGTCCCTGCTGCTGCACCACTGCGCCTCCTGTCTTTCTCCTTCCTGCACTCCCTCATGAACCTGTCCCTCAGGCTTTTCCACCTCTTTTTGATTTCTTTCTCTATATGAACAAATGGACTTGTGAGCGGGAACAGAAATCATAGCGACTGTACATTGTACGACTCCTGACCGGAGTTTACTAAACATTGAATACAGATATGAATTCTTTACATAACTTACCATCGTACCCGATCTCCTCGCTTATCCTCCTCCAAGCAAGGTCCTTTCTATTCCTGTCCCTGTATAGCGGGCTGGAAACAGCGTAAAGCTCTGGGCGAGAGCTAATCGCCACAATCAAGCTCTCCTCCATGTTCTCGAATATGATATTTTCCCGCTTCCACCGGCTTCATCCTAGAGCGACCCTGTCTCCTGATTGGTTGAAGCCTGCGTCAAAGCTTCAAAAGCTCAGCTTTGCTCAGCTTTGGCGTCAAAGGGATTGTTGTGATACGCGAGCAATTCGAGCGTCAAAAGCGTCAAGTGAGCGCGTATTACGCGCGACCTTTGAAGCTTTTGACGCGCGCCAAGTGACGCCGGGCCCCTCGGCTTCACCTGACGCGCTTCACCATTCACTTTCAATGCAAACCTGACGCTTTTGACGCCCAAGTTAAGTCCGGTGTGAACGCCCCTTTAGTCTGTAGAGTTCTTAGTTTTGTGGAAACAGCAGGTTTGTCCTTCGCACACGAGCTAAGACTGCAAGTTTTACAACACCTCTCTCTCTCTCTCTCTCTCCAGCACCAACCAAACTGCAGGAATAAAAATGCCAATTTTACAACATGACATTTCCTTTTGACAAGGAAAGAAGATAACAAGCTGATAACGTTACGTAATTGCTCACAAGCAACCAAAAGGTGTGCAACCAAAACTGCCTCAGACAAGAATCGAACCCGGATCCCCTGAATCCTAACCTGCAACTCTAACCATTCGGCCAACATAGTATCACTAGGCAAAACAAGTTTGCACGCAGTCTTATACCTGAGCGTTTCAGTCGCTGGCAGAGCTAAAGCGGACTTAACCTGCCACCTAGTGGCGATAGGATGTAATATGTTTCACGCAGCTGCGTGATTCATGAAAAGCGTGAGTGAAGACGACAAAACCTACTGGGACCTACTGTAGACTGAAGTTTTGCTGCGTCTTTAATTGTGGTAAACGCTCAGAGCAAGACAAAGATGTCTATTTTAAATAAAAATACTGGCCGTAATTTGCCATCAAGGAAAATAAACTCTAAACCTATCGAAGAAACGACGGCAGCACTGGTTGGTTAGCTAGCATTTGTGACGATGCAGTTCAAAACGTGTTTGTCTGTTCTTGTCATTTTCACCTAAGTTAGTTGTTCTAATAAAAACATTGCGTTGGAGTAAAAAGCCTGTCAGTGACGTGCGGTTGCTGACTGAGGCACTGACTTCATCACAATCAGATTTACCGCTACATATCAACAGGACATACAGAGGATTATTCACTCATGGTCCGCATTGTTTGCTCAAACAAAACGCAAAAGTAACCAGCACATTTTAAAGTGTGTTATGGTCTTATCTTAAATAAACTCCATACACCACTTCATTCAGTTCAGACCAGTTTCATGTGTAAGTCCAGATAATAGTTGAGTATAGATATTTAATCCTCTGTTTACAATGTAGATGATGTAATCCTCCGTTTGGAAATAAGATTCAAAAAGTAAAAAGAACAAATATGGGCATCCCTCTTGTTTTGCTAGCTCCACGCTGCAGCCCCGACTTTTAAAGACACAGATACTTTGAATGAATCTGGTGAAAAAGTAAACATTCCTAATCGTGGCAGTCCGAGCGTCAATGCAGTCTGAGGAAAGAGTGGTCCCTGTGCTCTCTCCATGAGCTCCGGTGTGAGTGGTCCCTGTGCTCTCTCCATGAGCTCCGGTGTGAGTGGTCCCTGTGCTCTCTCCATGAGCTCCGGTGTGAGTGGTCCCTGTGCTCTCTCCATGAGCTCCAGTGTGAGTGGTCCCTGTGCTCTCTCCATGAGCTCCAGTGTGAGTGGTCCCTGTGCTCTCTCCATGAGCTCCGGTGTGAGTGGTCCCTGTGCTCTCTCCATGAGCTCCGGTGTGAGTGGTCCCTGTGCTCTCTCCATGAGCTCCAGTGTGAGTGGTCCCTGTGCTCTCTCCATGAGCTCCAGTGTGAGTGGTCCCTGTGCTCTCTCCATGAGCTCCAGTGTGAGTGGTCCCTGTGCTCTCTCCATGAGCTCCGGTGTGAGTGGTCCCTGTGCTCTCTCCATGAGAGAGCACAGGGAGAGAGCAAGATGGTGTGAGAGAGCAAGATGGCGCCGGGTCAGGGCGCCTCAGTAAGAGCTCTGGTGTGCACTGTCTGTTCTATGTTGTTTATATTCGTCTGTGATACACTTGCCACCGTGAAGTACGACCGAGAGACACTTCTCTACATTCGGGACCGAGCTTGCGGAGTGTCGCAGGTCTTACCCGAACTGAGGTGCTTGGACTTCATTGAGTGCCCCACTCGTGAGGCCCGTCAAACATGGCAGGCGGGCCGCGGCAATGGCCGCGAACAGAGCGGGGGGACTGGGCGTCTCCATCGTGCTCTCCGCGGTGTGGAGCTGGGTACCGGGAGCCGACGTAGGAGGCGCAGACACCGGGGAAAACGAGGCGGTCTGCTCGTGAGATGCCGCTCCTGCAGGACCGCTCTGCCCTCCATCTACCTGGCGAATGTACAGTCTCTGCCCAATAAGACGGACGAGCTCCTGTGTCGTATCCAGAGCCAGCGAGAGGCCCGAGACTGCGCTGTGTTCTGTCTCAGCGAGACGTGGCTCCACACGAACGTCCCGGACTCTGCTGTTCAGCCCCCGGGATTCACCGTTCACCGCGCGGACAGAGAAAAGGAGACCACGGGGAAATCCAGAGGTGGAGGTGTGTGCTTTTTAATTAATCAGCGCTGGTGCACGGACACTCGCATCGTGAACCAAACATGTACTGCCAATCTGGAATGCCTGGTCTTGAGCTGTCGCCCTTTTTATCTTCCGCGGGAGTTTTCTGTGATATTTTTATGCGCTGTTTACATCCACCCACGAGCGGACTATACTGTAGCACTACAGGATCTGAGCGAGATCCTTCATAAATACGAGACTGCTCATCCTAATGCAGTGATCATTGTCGCTGGGGATTTTAACAAATGTAATTTAAAGACTGTACTCCCAAATTTCTACCAACATGTGACTCGAGCTACAAGAGGAGCACAGATCCTGGATCACTGCTACAGCAATGTGAAGGGAGCTTACAGGTCCAGTCTCAGACCTCCATTTGGAAAGTCCGACCACTCCTCTGTTCTCCTTCTTCCCTCATACACTCAGAGGAGCAGGGAACATAAACCAACCTCACGCACTGTGCAGTGTTGGTCTGAGGAGGCTAGCATGAAGCTACAAGGTTGTTTTGATGCCACTGACTGGTCTGTGTTTCAGTCAGAGGATGTTAACGAATTCTGTGACGCTGTGACTGGATACATACGCTTCTGTATTGACTGCTGTGTCCCACAGAAGGTCATTAAAGTACATCTCAGTCAAAACCCTTGGATGAACGCGGAAGTGAAACAAAAACTTCATGAGCGTGCGTTGGCGTTTCAATCAAATGATACAGTTGCCTATAAGCTATCCTGTTATGCATTGAAACGTTCTATTAAATCTGCAAAGCGCAGTTACGGGGACAGGTTAAAGGGTTATTTTAAGGAAGATGACCCTCGGCGCATGTGGAGCGGTATTAAAGCCATCACGTCCTGGAAACCTAGTGCCGGGAAAATCGGATCTGTTGGCCCAGCTCTGCCTAATGAGCTGAACACGTTCTACTGCCGCTTCGAATCTGCCGATGCCTGTCCTACTGTCTTTCCTGATTGTCTCAATCAAGGTACCTTCACCGTGACTCAGGAGGCAGTCCAGCGGGTCTTGTCCAGCACCATTGTCCGGAAAGCCCCTGGCCCGGACGGCATCCCACCCCGTGTCCTGAAACTGTGCTCTGAGCAACTTGCTAACAGACATTTTTAACCTGTCGCTAAGGAACTGTACTGTGCCAAACTGCTTTAAAGAGTTGACCATTATCCCAGTTCCTAAGAAAACTCCTGTGACATGCCTGAATGACTATGGTCCTGTGGCCCTCACTTCTGTCCTAATGAAGACTTTTGAGCGGCTTGTGCTGGACTTCATTAAGAGCCAGATCCCTGTGAGTGTTGACCCGCTCCAGTTTGCTTACAGACAGAACAGGAGTGTGGAGGATGCCATCTCCTTTGCTCTGAACTCTGTCTACAGTCACTTGGACAATAGGAAATCTGTGGCCAGAATGCTTTTCATCGATTATAGCTCTGCTTTTAATTGTCTTGTCCCAGGTAAACTGATTGAAAAACTCATGTCTCTCGGTTTAAGTGTTGCCATGTGTAAATGGATCTATAGCTTTTTAACTGACAGATCTCAGAGAGTGAAAATCAATGACGATTCAGATGTTGTTTCTGTGAGCACTGGATCTCCTCAGGGATGTATTTTGAGTCCTTTACTTTTTACATTGTACACTCATGATTGTGTGTCTTCCTCAGACTCTAACCTGATCCTTAAATATGCTGATGACACCACCATCATCGGTCTCATCAGTAATAACGATGAATCGTCTTATAGAGCCGAGATGTTTTATTTTTGTCTTTTAATGTTGTTTTATGTCTGTACTTGTCCTGTGCACACTGGGAACTTTTACTAATGTATTCCAATGTAGTGTTACTGCAAATGGCAAATAAAATGAATCTGAATCTGAATGAGCTCCGGTGTGAGTGGTCCCTGTGCTCTCTCCATGAGCTCCGGTGTGAGTGGTCCCTGTGCTCTCTCCATGAGCTCCAGTGTGAGTGGTCCCTGTGCTCTCTCCATGAGCTCCAGTGTGAGTGGTCCCTGTGCTCTCTCCATGAGCTCCGGTGTGAGTGGTCCCTGTGCTCTCTCCATGAGCTCCGGTGTGAGTGGTCCCTGTGCTCTCTCCATGAGCTCCGGTGTGAGTGGTCCCTGTGCTCTCTCCATGAGCTCCGGTGTGAGTGGTCCCTGTGCTCTCTCCATGAGCTCCAGTGTGAGTGGTCCCTGTGCTCTCTCCATGAGCTCCGGTGTGAGTGGTCCCTGTGCTCTCTCCATGAGCTCCAGTGTGAGTGGTCCCTGTGCTCTCTCTATGAGCTCCAGTGTGAGTGGTCCCTGTGCTCTCTCCATGAGCTCCAGTGTGAGTCGTCCCTGTGCTCTCTCCATGAGCTCCAGTGTGAGTCGTCCCTGTGCTCTGTGTGTTGCAGATTCCCCTGGGGTCCCCCCGAGTGCAGGGGCCCACCAGCTCTTCAGAGGCTTCAGTTTCGTGGCCTCCAGTTTGCTCGACGAGGAGGGCTTTGCAGAACCAGTGAAACCCACTCCCCACCCTGTCGTTCAGGTAACTGCTGCTGTTACTGCTACTGCTACTGCTGCTGTTGTTACTGCTGTTGTTACTGCTGCTGTTACTGCTACTGCTGCTGCTGTTACTGCTGTTGTTACTGCTGTTGTTACTGCTACTGCTACTGCTGCTGCTGTTACTGCTGTTGTTACTGCTGCTGTTACTGCTGTTGTTACTGCTGCTGTTACTGCTGTTGCTGCTGCTATTGCTGCTGCTGTTACTGCTGCTGTTACTGCTACTGCTGCTGCTGTTACTGCTGTTGTTACTGTTGCTGTTACTGCTGCTGTTACTGCTGTTGCTGCTATTGCTGCTGCTGTTACTGCTGCTGTTACTGCTGTTGCTGCTGCTGCTGTTACTGCTGCTACTGCTGCTGCTGCTGTTGTTACTGCTGCGGTTATTGCTGCTGTTACTGCTACTGCTGCTGCTGTTACTGCTGCTGTTACTGCTGCTGTTACTGCTGCTGCTGCTGCTATTGCTGCTGCTGTTACTGCTACTGCTACTGCTGCTGTTACTGCTGTTGCTGCTGCTGCTGTTACTGCTGCTACTGCTACTGCTGCTGTTACTGCTGTTGCTGCTGCTATTGCTGCTATTGCTGCCGTTACTGCTACTGTTACTGCTACTGCTACTGCTGCTGTTACTGCTGTTGCTGCTGCTGCTGCTATTGCTGCTGCTGTTACTGCTGCTACTGCTGCTGCTGCTGTTACTGCTGCTGTTACTGCTGCTGCTGCTGCTGTTACTGCTGTTACTGCTGCTGCTGCTACTGCTGCTGTTACTGCTGCTGTTACTGCTGCTGTTACTGCTGTTGTTACTGCTGTTGTTACTGCTGAAAACAAGCTTAAAAACTCGCTGCTCAGACTTTTTCTCTAATAAGATTATGAAGTATCTTAAAACTAGTAAAATAATCTAACATTAATCCTATAATGACAAACAACAAAAACTTAAAATAAGCATAATTTATGTTATTTTTAGTCTTTTACTTTTTCAGTGTATTTTACTCTCGCAGGTCGAGCATGTTTAATGTCATTAGATCGTTTAGTTCCATTACGACCTCACCGGAGCCAGACTGAGACCAGTCCCAGTCTCTGTCCTCTGCAGCTGAGGACAGGGTGACACTTACAGTATACTCTTTCACAGATGTCTAATCTTTTAAAACATTTTCTTCAAGCTGTAATCCACCAAAATGAAAACAGACAAAGGTCCGCCCTGTGTCCCTTTGTCGTGAGTTTGTTATGCACTACTTAGAAATAAATGAACTTATTCATGATTTTTGTGATGCCTGATAAATCGGTCGATATGGTCATGTCTTTACACGTCAGGTGTTAAAACGTCCATCATTATACTGTGTCTGATGTGTGTGAGGGTGTAATGTGTCCCTGCGCCAGCAGAGGGCGCCCTCGGTTTGTGTTAAGCAGCTTCAGAACGCTGCAGTTCTTTAGTTTATCTGAAAGTATGTAGGGTACTCATCTCCATAAAAACAAGAGTAAAACAAGTGTAAATAAAGTTTTATATGTTCATATAGATCCAAATAATAATTGTGGGTTATTATTTTAATATTTTTACATGTAAGTTGTTTCCTTGCCAAACTTAAAGTAGTACTAGAATTTAATATGCTGCTATCCAGAATATATAACTACAATATGTGTTTATAATATTTCGGGTGTTCATTTTGACATGTTCAGATGAATTATGTTTAAAAAAACAGCTTTGAAGTCGGACCTTTTCACAAACACTAGGGGGAGCCAAAATGGCGGCGATGACGTAGGAGAATGACCTCTCACAGCAGCAGCAGCAGTCTGGGCTGAATCTGTAGGAGGTTTCTCTGTCATCTGAACAAGGTATAAACATATTTTCATCCGTTTTGTACATAATAGTGTGCAACTCTTTTAACCTTTTAGCCTTATTTGTGAGATTCAAGCTAATTAGTGTTGGGCAAGTTAGCATGTTTTATGATATCAAGTAGAGTTAGCTAACAAGGCTAATATTCGTTTTCTACAGATTCAGCCCAGACTGCTGCTGCTGCTGTGAGAGGTCATTCTCCTACGTCATCGCCGCCATTTTGCCCCCCCCCAGCGTTTGTGAAAAGGTGCCACTTCAAAGCAGTTTTTTTAACATAATTCATCTGAACATGTCAAAATGAACACCCGAAATATTATAAACACATATTGTAGTTATATATTCTGGATAGCAGCATATTTAATTCTACTTTAAGAAGAAAACATAATTTTATATTTTTTGTGAGTGTGCTGGCCTATCAATGTTGGCACATGGGAAATCTTTTTCTGACTGTTTTTGTATTTATTTACAATTTCCTGAAAATGATGCAGTTGTTTTTAAGAAGGCATGCTACATGTTTATTTATTTTATTTATTTATTTGATCGGGACAACACACATTAATGAACAATCATATACAAGTTGTACACAAATTGTGCCGGATTGTAGCAAAACTGCTATTTTACATCCATGTAACATATGTGTTTTGGCTTAGTGTTTTGTTTTAACGTCAGACCATTCAAATATAAGCGGTGTGTGATTTGTATGAGCTGTGGCTTTGATCTATGATCAATGCAAAGCACGGCACTGATGAAGCCTCGAGACAAAACTTATTTACACACATTTGTTAATAATCATTGTCATTAACAAACACTTATAACCACAGCATGTATCATAATAATGTGGTAAATATATTTCTCCATTGTATTTCCAATGATAAACGGACCAGACACGCGTCGACGTACGTAAAAAATAGGATTGTTTCTATTTTGTCGGTCCGCGTCCGTTGCACCCTCCGTGGACGGACTGCTCCCTACGTGCGTCAGACGGACGCATGTCGTGGGCAGTGGAGCCACTTCCATTCACCCTCATGGAGAAAACAGAAACGGAGATGAAACGGACACGTTTGGACGGATACGTAGTACGTTTCACGCAGCGGGTGGAGTCGGGGCCTTAGATGAGTGTGGGGGTGCGGTATCAGCCACAAGTTTCACATGGTGCATCACTTTATGGTATTCATGACATAACATTGTAAAGTGCATCGTGTAAAGCAGTGGTTCTCAAACTTTTCACACCAAGTACCCCCTCAGAAAATACTTGCCTCTCCAAGTACCACCACAAATGACCACACCACACAGTAGCGTAGTAAGCCGAAGTATTCATCAATAACAAGGCAGAGGTTTCATTCCTAAAGAAGTATATTTAATGTAATATTTTACACAGTTTCAACAGTATGACTGCGCTTAAATATAGGAAAAAATGTTTTTTAAATGTTTCATTCATTACAAACTGCAAAGCCTCACTGTGAATGATATTCTGGAGTGGGATCTTTGTCCTACAGAAGGTTTGGACTCTGGTGCACTTTAGTTTCTAAGGCTTGTTCTGCTGCTCTCTTACATCTGTCGTTTACTCACAGAGACATGTTCATGTTTGGATCAAATGAGCTTTTGTTGCTCTCTGTTCCTTTTGCACAGAACTGGGGAAAAAAACTTTAGTTTTTGCTGCTCCTTCTACATGGAACGTGTTGCAAAAAGACTAAAAATGATCTGATCTTATTTCCTTGAATGCTTTTAGATCCAGATTGAGACATCTTCAGTGAAATGTAACTGTTTTTATAATCCGTAATTTTATGAAATTGTGTGCTACTGTTGTATAATCTGTATGTGACTATTTTATCATCTGTAATTTTATGTAATTTTTGTACACGAAAAAGAGGTTCTCATTGACTGCCAGCCATTTTTTGATGACTTCACTGATTTTTAAGACTCACAGAATATTGTGTGCTATGAAAAATATGAAACCAGAGTATGAAAGACAGGACTGTCTACTTTCAGCAGCAAAAAGAAGTTTGTTCTTAGTTTGTTTTGTTCTCCTGTGAGGGGAGTGTGACAAAAAGCACCAGTCTTAGACAAAAAAAATTGAAAATGAGGTTTTTGTGAAAACAGACGAACCTACAGAAAAGTGATTGTAAAACTATTTAGTTTAACTTTAGCATCTCCTCAAACATGTCCAGGATCTTACATGTTAGAAAACAGCAACACGTTTTTTAGAAAGTGTTTTTAATGTAAAATAATACGTTTTATGGCACACACACCCACATCCACAAAGTGTTGCTCAAATATTTCAAAATGTACTCGTCCAAAAAATGTCAAACTGTACCTATTGAAAGTAGAGCCCATGACAAACTATGCCAGAAAGAATGGCCAGTATTCATCCATTAGGTGGCGCTATATTTATGTCAATAAGAGTAAATCAAAGAATAACAAAATTACAATGATAAACACTATACATGACAATAAATCAAAGTGAATACTTATAGTACAAGCGCAATAGAATACTGCTGTGTGTCTTTGTGTGTTTGGGCGCGCATGTATGTGCGTTTATGCACGCGTTTGTGTTTTTGTGTGGTTACATCTACAGAGCGTCTGTTTAGTCCGGCGTGCGCTGAGACCATATCTGGACTTTGCTGCTGGCTCCTGGTGTGGACTCAGTGGTAATTTTAGCAATAGTCCACTTTTCTGTGGCTTTTTTGAGGTGCTCCGCTGGTCTGCTTCACATGGTCTGCTGCTAGGACCCTCCAAATGGTCTGCTGCTAGGACCCTCCACATGGTCTCTGTCAGCTCTGGAGACACATTTACTGCTCAAACTGCCTCCAAATGTAGCCTGACCCTGACTATATTACTCCATGTCTGCTTCACCTCTGTCTCTCCTGCTCAGAGTGCTCAGAGTGATGACCAAACCAGGGAGTTCTGCTGCCACCTGCTGGCTTAATAAAATACTGTCTACAGCCAAACCCCAGACTGTATGATACAGGGGACACAGACTGACAGGAAAAGATTGAAAAACAATGTTGTCCTCAAATGACATCCATGGCTGTCAATGAGTTAATCTCAATGGGACTTTTTTGTTTTTTTTCCACATTTTTTTTTTTTCACTGATTCTTTGGCGTACCCCTAGAGGGCGCCCGCGTACCACTAAGGGTACGCGTACCCCAGTTTGAGAAACACTGGTGTAAAGAGTTGAGCTCTTTGCATTGTGCTATATAAATAAAGATCACACACTTACTATTGTAAGAGCTTCTGCTGCTCTGCACCAACACAGATCCAGAAGTGAGTCGCAGTTACAGCAGGACTGGGTGGTTCTGACTAAACCAGGACCAAGACCATGATAGGACCTAGTGTTTGACTCTTGCTCTGGTGTCTGTCTGCAGCAGCTCCATGGGAAGAACGTCCTGTTCAGCGACGGCTACGTCCTGAAGGAGGACATCGGGATGGGCTCCTTCTCCGTCTGCAAACGCTGCGTCCACAAAGCCACCAACACTGAGTACGCGGTCATGGTACTTCCTCTGACGCCGAGTCCTTCACGATGTTTACCACCATCAGACAACGGCCTACTTTTCATATTCAGTCACTGCCTAAAGTCCATTATGACCAAAACAATAGACCTCAGATTCATTATATTTGCTATTAGCAGTAAAACCACATTGGAATACTTCGGCAAGTCTTCAGTGTGCGCCAGACAAATACAGGAATACAACAAGCTAAAACAGTACGGGAATAAAACAAACTAAAAATAACGGGAAACTCCTGAATTGAAGTTGTGAATGGTTTCAGATGATCGATAAGACGGCCACGGATCCTTCTGAAGAGATCGAGATCCTGCTCAGATACGGACAGCATCCCAACATCATCACACTCAAGGACGTGAGTACCGCGTGCAGCACAGGTATAGTCCGTGCTAAACGCTTCACAGGGGACACAAAACTGTTTTTTAGCCTGGATTTGAACATTGTCAGAGAAGATAACTCTCACATTTTCAAGAATTTTCCAGATTTTAGCTACATACATCTGAAATGCCCCCTTATGTTTAGTCCTGACTCTGGGACCAGCAGGAGGCCAGTCCCTGTGCTCCCCAGAGTCCCAGCAGGAGTCCAGTCCCTGTGCTCCCCAGAGTCCCAGCAGGAGTCCAGTCCCTGTGCTCCCCAGAGTCCCAGCAGGAGTCCAGTCCCTGTGCTCCCCAGAGTCCCAGCAGGAGTCCAGTCCCTGTGCTCCCCAGAGTCCCAGCAGGAGTCCAGTCCCTGTGCTCCCCAGAGTCCCAGCAGGAGTCCAGTCCCTGTGCTCCTCAGAGTCCCAGTAGGAGGCCAGTCCCTGTGCTCCTCAGAGTCCCAGCAGGAGTCCAGTCCCTGTGCTCCCCAGAGTCCCAGCAGGAGTCCAGTCCCTGTGCTCCTCAGAGTCCCAGTAGGAGGCCAGTCCCTGTGCTCCTCAGAGTCCCAGCAGGAGGCCAGTCCCTGTGCTCCTATACACTATGTGGCACTATATGGTTCAGACCTACTTTTGTGTCTCTCTCACAGTCGTGTGTCATTGTTGCTGTCTCTCACAGTTGTGTGTCTCTCACAGTTGTGCGTCTCTCGCAGGTGTACGACAATGGGAAGCAGGTGTTCTTGGTGACAGAGCTGATGCGCGGCGGTGAGCTGTTGGACCGGATCCTGAAGCAGAAGTGTTTCTCGGAGCGAGAGGCCAGTGCGGTGCTGTTCACCATCACCAAGACTGTGGAGTACCTTCACTCTCAGGGGGTGAGCACGTCAGGACCACTGTCTGTGACATCACCAGTCATTTTGACGGTCACAAGTTTAGCCCTCACTAATTAACAGCATATAAAGTCCTAATATATGTATAATTTATAGTTAATTAGCTCTGTTTAGGTATTCATTAACTACTTGTTAGTCCTTATTCAATATGGCTTTATTCAACATCTCACTAATCACTAACACTGACTTTACCAGGTGGGTTAGGGCCGGGGCTAAGGTTCAGGTTAGAGCTAAGGTTAGGGTTAGAGCTAAGGAAAGGGCTAAGGTTAGGGTTAGGGCTAAGGTTAGAGTTAGAGATCAAGATCTGGCCATGTTTTTGAATATAAAAAACGGGCAAATGCCAACTATAAATATGCCCTCAGATATATTAAACGTAATGAAAACACATTAAGGGCTGATTCTTTAGTGTCAAAGCTGCAAAATAATAAGTATACTGACTTCTGGAAAGAGGTTGGTAAGATAAATAAATCTAAAACCTCCCTGCCCAATAATATTGATGGTGTAAGTGGACCGTATAATATATGCCAGCACTGGAAGAATTATTACAATAATCTGTTCAATTGCGTTGAGAGCAATATAAATACAAATGTCACAAAACCTGTTGGAAATCACAGAGGAGTGATAGTCACCCCTCAAGAAGTGTATGAAGCTGTTTTCAAACTGAAAAACAACAAGTCCAGTGGTTTAGATAAAGTGACTTCTGAACATGCAAAGTTTGCCAGCCCACGGCTATATCCTCTCTTAGCCCTCTGCTTCACTGGGTTTCTGGTTCATGGCCTTTTGCCTCAGTCACTTTTGTCCATTATATTGATCCCTATAATCAAAAATAAGACTGGTAAACTCAGTGACAGTAACAACTACCGCCCAATTGCTTTAGCAAGCTCTGTGTCTAAGGTTTTGGAGATTATTATTTTAACCCGACTCGAGCCATATTTGTACACCACTGCTAACCAGTTTGGCTTCAAGCCTGCACATGGTACTGACCTGTGCATCTATGCCCTCAAAGAGATGCTGGGCAAATATAACTCTCAGGGATCAACTATGTTCATGTGTTTTCTGGACGCATCTAAAGCATTTGATCGAGTCAACCATGGAACATTGTTCCAAAAATTATTAGATCGAGGTGTTCCAGACTTCCTCATAAGGATACTTGCATTCTGGTACTCCTGCCAGTCCATGCAGGTCAGATGGGGCGATTCCACTTCTGACCCATTCAGGGTTAGCAATGGGGTGCGTCAGGGTGGAATTTTGTCTCCTCTTCTATTTAATGTCTATATTGATGACATGTCTCTGCAGCTAAATCAGTGTAAAACTGGATGCATGGTTGGCAGTCACCTGTGTAACCATTTAATGTATGCAGATGACCTTGTAGTGTTGTGTCCTTACAGTGCAGGTCTACAGCAGCTGTTAAATATCTGCTCCCGATATGGCATAGAGCATGACATCAAGTATAATGCCTCTAAAAGTCAAATCATGATTGTAAAAACAAAGGAGGATAAAAAAATTAGTGTTCCCTGATTTCCTTCTATGTGGTGACATTCTCCAACCCACAGAGGAGGTAAAGTATCTTGGACACTACATAACCTCTGACCTCTCTGACGACAGAGACATGTATCGACAGCAGTGTAAACTTTATGGCCAGGCTAATATGCTCGTTCGGAAGTTTCACATGTGCTCTAGAGATGTTAAAGTTAATCTTTTCAAGGCTTTTTGCTCACCCTTGTATACTGCACAGCTCTGGTGTAGATATAAGAAAAAGAGTATGCGGAGTCTAAATGTGGCTCACAATGACTCTCTGAGGATTCTGTTGAAAGTGCCCAGGTTTTGTAGCGCCAGTGAAATGTTTGTAAATTGTGGTGCGAGGTCATGTGTTGTCTCCATCAGATATTGTATTTACTCTTTTATGTGCAGAGCCGTGAATCTGTCAAACCAGATCATCCAAGCTCTGGTCTGTCCAAGGAGGAGCTCTGTAAGGTTTTCCTCTGACCTATGGAGGCATTGGAGGTCCTGTCTGTACACCTGTTTATAATTTTACTGTATACATATGTTTTTTGTCTCTTTATTATTATTATTATTATTATTATTATTATTTTTTTTTTTAATCTATGAACCAGTTCTATCTGTGTTCTTAATAAAGAATGAATTGAATTGAATTAGAGCTATGGTTAGGGTTAGAGCTAAGGTTAGGGTTAGAGCTAAGGTTAGAGCTAAGGTTAGGGTTAGAGCTAAGGTTAGGGCTAAGGTTAGGGCTAAGGTTAGGGTTAGAGCTAAGGTTAGGGTTACGGCTAAGGTTAGGGCTAGGGCTAAGGTTAGGGTTAGGGCTAAGGTTAGGGTTAGAGCTAAGGTTAGGGTTAGAGCTAGGGCTAAGTTTAGGGCTAGAGCTAAGGTTAGGGTTAGGGCTAAGTTTAGGGTTAGAGGTAAGATTAGAGCTAAGGTTAGGGTTAGAGCTATGGTTAGGGTTAGAGCTAAGGTTAGAGCTAGGGTTAGGGCTAAGGTTAGGGTTAGAGCTAAGGTTAGGGTTACAGCTAAGGTTAGGGCTAGGGCTAAGGTTAGGGTTAGAGCTAAGGTTAGGGTTACAGCTAAGGTTAGGGCTAGGGCTAAGGTTAGGGTTAGAGCTAGGGTTAGGGCTAAGGTTAGGGTTAGAGCTAGGGCTAAGGTTAGGGCTAGAGCTAAGGTTAGGGTTAGGATTAAGGTTAGGGTTAGGGTTAGAGCTATGGTTAGGGTTAGGGTTAGAGCTAAGATTAGGGTTAGAGCTAAGGTTAGGGTTAGGGCTAAGGTTAGGGTTAGAGCTAAGGTTAGGGTTACAGCTAAGGTTAGGGCTAGGGCTAAGGTTAGGGCTAGGGCTAAAGTTACGGTTAGAGCTAAGGTTAGAGCTAAGGTTAGGGTTAGAGCTAGGGCTAGGGCTAAGGTTAGGGTTAGAGCTAAGGTTAGGGCTAAGGTTAGGGTTAGAGCTAAGGTTAGGGTTAGAGCTAAGGTTAGGGTTAGAGCTAAGGTTAGGGTTAGAGCTAAGGTTAGGGTTAGGGCTAAGGTTAGGGTTAGGGCTAAGGTTAAGGTTAGGGTTAGAGCTGAGGTTAGGGTTATGTTACAAAATCTAATCTGAAGTGTTAGTATTTTGACCCATTCCAATTTTATTAAAAATAAATCATGTATAATGTTTTTTGCTTGCTTTGGCCCTGTGTCTTCATGTTTACTGTCAGAAATCCACCAAATCTTAAAGTAGCCAAATGTACGATTTTCATGTCAAGTCTTCATTAAAGTGGTTCTCACCCCCGCTCCTCGGAGCTTACGTTACTCACATTTCCTGTTCAAATCTTCCTCTAAATGGGCGTGGCCTGGAGGACTAAAGGGGGCGTGAACCAGACTGGGCCGTTTACATTGCTCTGGGCGGGGGGCTGCTGACGTCAGGTCCAACTTGCAGACGTCAGGTCCAACTTCTGTGCCAGTGTTGGCGCCAGATTTAAAATTCAAATGTAGTAATACAGGTCGCCAGCAGATGGCGCCTCACAGACGGTTTTAGGCAGAAAGTCTAACTTTCAACTAATTTGCTCCAAAGTGACAAGATTATGACCAGGATATGTAGAAAACACTATTGGACACTCATTTATACCGTTTATCAGCAAAAAAAAGTGGATTTGAGGGTGAGTTGTCCTTTAAAGGACCCTAATATGTCCAAAGGCATTAATAAAACATGTTCTTTTCCATCCATCCATCCATCCATCCATTTTCTTCCCCTTAATCCATTTCTGGGTCGGGGGGTTGGCAGTCAGAGCTGCACCCAGTACACAGAGCACCAGCCCCTCACTGATCCTCCTGCAGGGGGTGAGTCCACAGGAGCTGAGATCTTTCAGTCGGTGCTTCAGGCAAAGTGGGGTTAATTGTCTTGCCCAAGGACACAGCGACAGCAGTCATCAGTGGGAGTCTTGAAGAAGGTCTTACGGTGGTCTCGAACCCACGACCTTCAGGCCCAAAGGCCAATGCTCTACCAACTGAGCTACTGTCAGTTATTTTCCAATACTTCTTTAACTGATAACAGTAGTTCAGATATTTTAGAATTTCATAATTAGTTTTACAGCCCCTAAATCTTGTTATTGTTTTCATTTTGATGTCCCGCCCTCCACCGTTTCACCAATCAGAAAGTCTGTGATCCAGGTTGCCAGAACTCACCGCGTGGAGCTAATCTCACTGGTAAAGTACCATGTGGCGCAGAACTAAAAAAGGTCTCGTTATGATTCAAATCATTAACGACAAAACACGGGAAAAAACCAGGATTTCTATATTTGTGAAAAAGGTGTTGGTTATAGATTTGTTGTTGACAAAACTCTATATTCAGCTGTTATGGTCCCAGCTGGATTTGTCTGCATATCTGGCAACCTGAGTCGGGAGAGTGGGAGAGGCTGCAGTACCACTTTTGGCCGAATTTTGACATACTGCTCCTTTAACCATTTGAACTTAAAATATGTCAACATTTGCCCAAAAAAAAAATCAAATCACGTACAGACTTTGTCACGGTTGGACCCAATGTGTTGCATATGCAAGAACAGAAGATTGATTTTCAAATGATGATATCAAACTATGAACGCTGGTTCTCACAGTTTCCGTTGGACAAAGACACACAACACGGACAAGATTAGTTCATTTTTTAACATCGCAGAGTAGGGGCTGTCTTCCTCACATATTCAGGAAGACTGTTCCAAATTGTAGCAGCATGAACCTGAAATGCTGCCTTATGTTTAGTCCTGGTTTAATAAAGGTTAAATAAAAAAATAAAAAAGTTGTGTTGTGCTTGGTGCAGGTGGTGCACAGGGACCTGAAGCCCAGTAACATCCTGTATGTGGACGAGTCTGGGAACCCCGAGTCCATCCGCATCTGTGACTTTGGCTTTGCTAAGCAGCTACGAGCTAACAACGGACTCCTCATGACGCCGTGCTACACCGCCAACTTCGTGGCTCCAGAGGTCAGACGGGTTTTCTCTCATATTCATCATTGTATTCATTTCTTTTGTCGGACTCTAGAGCAGGGGGGTCAAACTGGTCCTCATGAAGGGCCGTGCGGCGGCGGATTTTCATTCCAAACAAGATGCAGCACACCAGACTCCACCCACTTCCTTAAGTCGAAGGCCCAATCCCCGCACCCTACACTCCTCTACAAAGTGTGCATTTGTTTAAAGTGCACACAAGGGTTCGAGTGGCTGGTTACAAGCGTGCAAAAAAGGCGGAATTGGGACAGTGCACACTGAGTGCAGGATACGTCATCGACTCGTCAAGAGATGGTCATTTTCAGACCTAAACTTTATGAAAATTAAAGGTAATTTTGTCTGACCCTTTGGGAAACAAAATGAGATGCTTCACTCACGTTAAAATACATGTACTGTATATTGGTTATTTGTAATTTGAGATAGCTGTATAATTTTAAGTTAATGTGGGTAACTAACTGTAGAATCGCTGCACCCACTGCACAGGACACGTCACTTCTGCTAATGTTTGGGACGTGGCTCATGCTGATCTGAATGAGCAGACCATAGGCTGTATATATTAACAGACAGAGTCACGGCTATCTCCGCCGTTCATAGGAGTTGGCCATGAAAAGTGCTTTCATGGAGCAATCCAAGATGGCCGCGAGTGGTCCCGCCCACAAGAAAATTGTGAAAAAACGCATATGCGCATGTGTCAGCTGGCGCAGCTCCATTCATTTGAACGAGAGACTTCAAAAATTCCCCGCGAGTAAACTAGAGTGGACCAAAAAAAATCACCTTCCTCAGCATTGACACACATGTGGAACGGAGCTTTGGGCCAAGAGCCAACTTTTGGTCCATCCTGTAAAAACGTTTTTGAGAGGTCTGCCAACGCTATATGTTAGCATTGGCTAATTCTACTTCTGGGTCCACCCCCAACGGCCCGGGGTGGTATTGCAGCATGTCAGCGCACGTCATTTTGGCCACTTTTGAGCTGGGACCCTCCCCCACTGGAGCAGACCGGGGGCAGACATCTTGGAGAGACCAGGGGCAGACATCTTGGAGAGACCAGGGGCGGACATCTTGGAGAGACCAGGGGCGGACATCTTGGAGAGACCAGGGGCGGACATCTTGGAGAGACCAGGGGCGGACATCTTGGAGAGACCAGGGGCGGACATTTTGGAGAGACCAGGGGTGGACATCTTGGAGAGACCAGGGGCGGACATCTTGGAGAGACCTGGGGCGGACATCTTGGAGAGACTAGAGGCAGTGGAGCAGACATCTTGGAGAGACCAGGGGCAGTTGGGCAGACATATTGGATTCCAAGGGCTTGTCTTGAAATGGAGCATGTTTGTTTGACAGGTGCTGAAGAGGCAGGGCTATGATGAGGGCTGTGACATCTGGAGCCTTGGGGTGCTGCTCTACACCATGCTGGCCGGGTGAGTCATAGTTCTTATGCTATACATTTATATATTTTCTAGATACTCTTAAGACGCTTTGCAGATTCATTCATTCACTTACAGTGCCTTGCGAAAGTATTCTGCACCCTTGAACCCTGAAGCCACATTTCAGGCTTCAAACATAAAGAACAACAAGTGGGACACAATCGTGAAGTGGAACGAAATTTATTGGATAATTTAAACTTTTTTAACAAATAAAAAACTGAAAAGTGGGGCGTGCAATATTATTTGGCCCCTTTACTTTCAGTTCAGCAAACTCACTCCAGAAGTTCAGAGAGGATCTTTGAATGATCCATCCGTCCATTTTCTTCCCCTTAATCCATTTCTGGGTCGGGGGGGAGCAGTCAGAGCTGCACCCAGTCCACAGAGCACCAGCCCTCACTGATCCTCCTGCAGGTGGTGAGTCCACAGGAGCTGAGATCTTTCAGGTGGGGCTTTGGGCAAAGTAGGGTTAAGTGTCTTGCCCAAGGACACAACGACAGCAGTCATCAGTGGGAGCCGTGAAGTAGGTCTTACGGTGGGCTCAAGCCCATGACCTTCAGGCCCAAAGGCCAATGCTCTACCAACTGAGGTACTGTCGCCCTTTGAATGATCCAATGTTGTCCTAAATGACTGATGATGATAAATAGAATGCACCAGTGTGTAATCAAGTCTCCGTATAAATGCACCTGCTCTTTGATAGTCTCAGGGTTCTGTTTAAAGCGCAGAGAGAACCATGAAGACAAAGGAACACACCAGGCAGGTCCGAGATACTGTTGTGGAGAAGTTTAAAGTTGGATTTGGATACAAAAAGATTTCCCAAGCTTTAAACATCTCAAGGAGCACTGTGTAAGCAATTATATTGAAATGGAAGGAGTATCAGACCACTGCAAATCTACCAAGACCCGGCCGTCCCTCCAAACTTTTATCTCAAACAAGGAGAAGACTGATCAAAGATGCAGCCAAGAGGCCCATGATCAATCTGGATGAACTGCAGATAGCTACAGCTGAGGTGGGAGAGTCTGTCCATAGGACAACAATCAGTCGTGCACTGCACAAATCTGGCCTTTATGGAAGAGTGGCAAGAAGAAAGCCATTTCTCAAAGATATCAATAAAAAGTCTTGTTTAAAGTTTGCCACAAGCCACCTGGGAGACACACCAAACATGTGGAAGAAGGTGCTCTGGTCAGATGAAACCAAAATCGAACTTTTTAGCCACAATGCAAAACGATATGTTTGGCGTAAAAGTAACACAGCTCATCACCCTGAACACACCATCCCCACTGTCAAACATGGTGGTGGCAGCATCATGGTTTGGGCCTGCTTTTCTTCAGCAGGGACAGGGAAGATGGCTAAAATTGATGGGAAGACGGATAGAGCCAAATACAGGACCATTCTGGAAGAAAACCTGTTGGAGTCTGCAAAAGACCTGAGGCTGGGACGGAGATTTATCTTCCAACAGGACAATGATCCAAAACATAAAGCCAAATCTACAATGGAATGGTTCACAAATAGACGTATCCAGGTGTTAGAATGGCCAAGTCAAAGTCCAGACCTGAATCCAATCGAGAATCTGTGGAAAGAGCTGAAGACTGCTGTTCACAAACGCTCTCCATCCAACCTCACTGAGCTCGAGCTGTTTTGCAAGGAAGAATTGGCAAGAATTCGAGTCTCTCGATGTGCAAAACTGATAGAGACATACCCCAAGCAACTTGCAGCTGTAATTGCAGCAAAAGGTGACGCTACAAAGTATTGGCGCAAGGGGGCCGAATAATATTGCATGCCCCACTTTTCAGTTTTTTTGTTTTTTGTTAAAAAAGTTTAAATGATCCAATACATTTTGTTCCACTTCACGATTGTGTCCCACTTGTTGTTGATTCTTCCCAAAAATTTAATTTTTATATCTTTATGTTTGAAGCCTTAAATGTGGCGAAATGTTGAATGGTTCAACGGGGCCGAATACTTTCGCAAGTCACTGTAATTCAGAGCAGCTGTGGCTACAGAAGTAGTTTATGATCATCTGTACCGTGTGGATGAATAATTCTGCGAAGAGACTTTGACCATCCAGAAAAGTGCTGCACAAAACCAATTTCAATGTATTTGTGTATCAACAACAAGTCAGAGAAATGGTTAAAACACAGGAATTGCAATAAAAACTTAAATTTTAGGCAACATGTATAATTTGAGCACATCCTGACCCATAACCTGAGAGTGTCCTGATGCTGTGACGGAACTGGGGATTTTTTTTTTTTCATTTTCCTGTAACATTTGCATGGAATCTGCTTTAAACAAAACTCAACTAAATGAACTGACTTCCCTGTACTGGTTTAAAGAGACGGCTGAACGCTTTAGATAAACTGTCTGCACGTTTTACTTGTTTATACAAAATATTTCTTATTTTGGTGTTTTATTGTTTCATTTGATGTGTATGTTTCATGTTTTATCTTTTATCTTTTATTTTAGCTTGTATTTCTTAATGCTGTAAATGTATGTTGAATGTGTTGCCTCTTGCTCAGGACACTCTTCAAAAAGAGATTATTAATCTCAATGAGGTTCTCTTGGTTAAATAAACAAATAATTAAAAGTTCTGTTGTGCTTGGTGCAGGTGGAGCCCAGTAACATACTGTATGTCAAGGTCAAGTTTATTAATATAGGACATTTAAAAAAAAAAAAAACAGACATTACTGTCACAAAGTGCTTTCCAGACATTACAAGATACAACACACAAGAACAAAATAGCATAAAAATAAAATGGAGGTCACTCATATTTCAAAGCCAAAGCAAAGAAATGTGTCTTTAGCTGCGATTTAAAGCTCTCTACAGATGGTTAGCGCTCTACAGAGGGTTAGCTCTAAACAGCTCTTGTTGGAATAGCAGGAAAAACAGTTACCACTCCCTCAATGAGACTGAAGTTTAGCCTTATTCGTCACTATCACTTACAACAGAGAAATAACTTATCAAACTATGCTGCAGTTTAAAATGCCTGTTATCTCAAATTGAAGGGCTGAGAGATTTCTTTTTGGGGATACTTGGTATAAGCTTTCAGCCCAATAATTCACTTTTCACTGACTGTCCTCTCAGGAACAAGGAGTCATCGTACTAATGTCAGTGTAGCTATGCTATGATCGGGGCCTTGCTGAACGTATCGGGGGTATTTCGTTTGTCACAAAGACCTCCAACATTGGTCGAAACAATGGAGCTTGTATCCTGATTGAACTGCAGCTCCAGAAAGATCTCCTGTACTGTGCCGCCATAATGTCCTCGAGCTGTTTCTCACTGCGGCTTTACAACGGTCTTGGTCTGATCGTGCCACGGTTTAAGTGCTTCCAAGAACGCTCGCAACACTGTCATAAAGCCACCTGTGCCATTCCCTTAGTGATAACACAAAGAATAAATAACAAAAAAACACCTGAAGTTAGTCAGTCTAATCTGGAAAATCTAATTCTTGTCCGGTGTAAAATTAGCCGACCACAACCGCTGATACTGAAACTTTGAAACTTGCTATGCTAAATGTCAGATCTCTTTGTAACAAGTCTTTTTTAATCAATCATTTTATTTGTTCTTATAATCTTGATCTTATGTTCATGGCTGAAACTTGGCTTGACCAAAATACAGGAAATGCAGTTTTAATCGAAGCATCACCACCAAATTTCAAATTTGAATCTGAAATACGGGAAAACAAAAAAGGAGGAGGCTTAGCTGCCATTTTCAGAGACCACTTTGTCTCCCATAGAATATCTCTTGGGAAGTTTTCGTCATTTGAATATGTGTCTTTTAAAATAAAACAAAAACAATCTCCTCCAATACTCTTCATTGTCCTATACAAGCCACCGCAGTCATGTCACAGTTTTATTGATAATTTTACCGAGTTGCTTTCAGTTGTATGCACAGATTTTGATAGCATAGTTATTACAGGTTATTTTAATATTCATGTGGATAATGTTGACAGAAATGCAAAAGAGCTGAGTTCTTTACTTGAATCCTTTGATCTCACTCAGCAAGTAAGTGGCCCCACCCACAGCAGAGGGCACACTCTAGACCTGTTGGTTACTAAGGGGGTGAATATTTCAAATGTAAACATGGTCGATGTTGCTGTTTCGGACCATTTCGGTGTATTTTTTAACATGTGTTTCACTAACAAACCACCAGTAAAACTGCAACTGTTCGAAGAAGACACATAAATGAAAATTCGAGTGAACTATTTATGGGAATGATAAACTTTGAAAATGCATCGTATTCTACTGCAGATGAACTGTTTAACTCTGTCACCTCTAGTGTTTTGAATGTTCTGGATACTGTTGCCCCTGTGAAGGTTAAAATAGTGAAAAATAAGCAGAAGGCGCCGTGGGCTAAAGCAGACTCAGTCAGGGCACAAAAGAGAAAGTGCCGGAGGGCCGAGCGAAAGTGGCGCAAGTCCAACCTCCAGGCTGATTACGAGATCTTCAAAGATAAATTGTGCGAGTTTAACCGGGTGCTACGTAGTACGAGAGAAAGATATTTTTCTGAAATGATTGAGGGCTGCAGTAACAATCTGCGTGTTCTGTTTTCAACAGTTAATAGATTAACAAACCCCCCTGTTCAAATGCCAGTAGAGCTTACTTCCAAACGTAAATGTAATGAGTTTGCACATTTTTTCAATGACAAGGTTCAAGGCATCAAAAACGCCATTGTCTCCAATCCACAGATAACCATCCAACAGCCAGAAAGGCTCTTTGAGCTAACTCACTTTGCACCTGTAGATGATAAAAATGTCCAAGAGATAATCTCCAATCTGAGCTCCTCCACATGCAGCCTGGATGTACTACCCGCTAGATTTCTGAAGTCTGTTCTGAGCAGTCTGTTACCTTCACTCACACAGATAGTAAACATGTCCCTTCATTCTGGAATATTCCCAAAGGCCCTGAAAACTGCAGTCATCAGGCCCCTTCTAAAAAAGAGCAGGCTGGATGCCACTGTACTTAACAACTATCGTCCCATCTCAAATATGCCATTTATGGGGAAAGTCCTTGAAAAAGTTGTCTACCTACAGCTTACTAGATTTCTTATCAACAACTCATTTGATATGTTTCAGTCCGGCTTTAGACCCCATCACAGCACTGAGACTGCCCTCGTCAAGGTTACAAACGATATCCGGATGAACACTGACGCAGACCAAGTCTCAATCTTAATCTTGTTAAATCTAAGTACTGCCTTTGACACTGTCGACCATGAGATCCTCTTACAGAGATTAGAGGACTGGGTTGGCGTCGCTGGCACCGCCCTAAGTTGGTTTAGTTCTTACCTTGAAGACAGGAAGTACTTTGTGGAGATTGGAAACTGTGTCTCAGATCATATGGCCCTGACCTGTGGAGTACCACAGGGGTCGATCCTGGGACATCTTCTGTTCAATCTCTACATGCTGCCGTTAGGTCAGTTAATACGCAGAAACGAAGTGTCCCATCACAACTATGCAGACGACACTCAGATCTATGTCTCACTGACTGCAGGAGAACATGGACCAGTGGACTCACTCCTTCACTGTATCCAACAGATCAGTGAGTGGATGCAAAACAACTTCCTTCAGCTAAACGCAGACAAAACTGAAATGATTGTCTTTGGTCCCCAGAAACAAAGAGAGAGCGTCATCTGTCACCTACAGTCTCTCTCCCTAAAACCTTCATACAAGGTCAGAAATCTAGGGGTAATACTGGACTCAGACTTACATTTTAATAGCCACATTAAATCAGTAACATCATCAGCTTTCTACCACCTAAAAAACAGGGCTGTAGGGATGAGATCTAGCTTGAAGGTTTGGAATAAAGAACGATGGCGGATGTATCTTGGGCGGAAGGGAGGGAGAAGTGTGAGAATGCTGAGAGGAGATGGTTGATGGGGACAGTGGGGTCAGATCCAGAGACTGCAGCACTGCTTGTGGGTGGATGCTTGTGTTCTTGGATAGACAGAAAGATAAGAGATAGTTGCAGAAGTCAGAGGAGTTTAAATGGTCGGTCAGTGAGTCTGGGGGTTTGGTTACAGTATGTTGGAGAGAAGGGAGAAAAGTTGATTTGACTGGATCAGACCGGAGTAGGAGTTGATTCGGGCAGATTCAACAGTTCTTATAGTAGTATGTAGGGGTGTGACAATACTTTCTTGCGCGATCCGATTATCGATATGCATTTGCCAAGTATCAATTAAATTAAAAAAAAGAAAAAAAAGAAGTGTATATATATATTTATCTTTTTTTTTTTTTTTTTTTTTTAAATAGTATCAATACTTAATATATGGCTACATTACGCATCTCCATTCCAATTATTATGAAATAAAGTGTATTTTTTCACTAAACATTTTTCTTTTATTTATGCCATAAATTAGCGTATGGTATATTTCTGACCAATATATCGATAATCGTCATATCGTGGTAAATTGTTGTGATATTATCATTATCGTGAGCTTTGTATCGTGTATTGTATCGTATCGTGAGGTACCCTTAGGTTCCCACCCCTAGTAGTCTGTGGTTATTGTACATGTTGTTGTGTATTGTCAGTCCGGTTTTGTTTTTGAGTCTTTCCAGTTGTCGTCTTTTGGCTTTGAGTTGTCGTAGTGCGGGTGTGTACCAGGGTGTAAAGCGGGTGAAGGAAGAAAGATCTGGTTTTGAGTGGAGAATGAATGTCTAGTAGAGAGTGGAGGAGGTTGTTGTAGAGGGAGACCAAGTCATCAGGGGGGAACCAGGATCCCTGTAGAGGAACTTAGTGATGTCAGAGCTAAAAGAGTCTGCATTATTGTTTTTGATTTTGCAGAATGAGATGCTGCGGGGAAAAGTGAGTTTGGACAGAGACTGATTGGCTGTGAAAATAATTATGAAATGGTCAGTGGATGGAAATGAATGGCTTTCATTGTTAGGGATGTGCTTTGACTTCTTCTTTCTATTTTTGTTAATTAGCTTTGGATGCTCATGCTTTTATCTTCCAGTTTCACGCCATTCGCCAACGGCCCCGAGGACACTCCCAACGAGATCCTGAACAGAATAGGCAACGGTCACTTCAGCCTGACTGGCGGCAACTGGGACACGGTGTCGGACGCAACAAAGGTCTCACTGTTTCACTGCAGAACTCCATTTTATAATTGTTTGTTTCAAGCAGAATAAAACCACATACAACATACAAACAAACCTCTTAAAACCAAGTAATGAATTACACAAATACCAGAGGACACCCGCGGTACTGCAGCCTAAATCCACAGGGGGTGTAAGGAGTTTTCTCCCACAGACCTCAGCGTTCACTAAAACAGCTCGTTCTCAGAGGCTGAACTCAGCTTTAACAAAGGAGGATTCTGTGAGGATTTTAGTTGCACAACTAAAATCCTCACAGAATCCTATTGCACAACAGGATAAAACATGTCATCTGGATGTCTATAGAGGACACCCAAACCGGCACCCACACTTTTTTCACATGACAGTATTTAGAAAGTGGCAGAATGTGCAACACCTAAAAACAGTGAAAAAAATCCGCACAGCTATGTAGCTCCCAATAAGTGTATTTTATCTACATAGCTGTGCGGATTTTTTTTACAGTTTTTACGTCTTACATTTTTTTAATCCAGCACGCTAGCTCAAACTACAGGGATGTGCGGCCTTATTTGAAACTTTCTAGAATGTGCAACACCGCCGACATCATGACCTTGGATTTGGAGGTGCAGATTCTCATCCCAGTCATTTCACACTCGGCTGCAAACCGTCCCAGTGCATGCTGCAGGTCCTGGTTTGTGGATGCCAACATGACACCTAGAAATTCTGTCCCTAAATACAGTGAACAGAACCATGACAAAGGGCAGCCCAAGTGGAGGCCAACATGCACCGGGAACAGGTCTGACTTACTGCCGGCGACGAGAACACATGTTTATGCCTGTATTAGTGTGTTGCTCCTTTATCTTAACACATTAACTGCCATTGACGTTTCCCGCTATTTTCACGTTCCCAGATGTCTATTGTATCAAATATGTAAGGCTTGAGGCAATATTTTATCGAGTCAGCAGATGGCAGCATTGCTCTATGAATGGTTTGAAAACAGCTAGATGCACTTTTGCCTCTTTTTTCTCAGCTTTCTGGTGATTTCAATAAAACGTACCTCTACTCGACTGGGGATTACAGGGGAACGAAACAAGCTAGAAACAAAATTATTTTTGCTGATCTAAGTACATAGTCCATTCTTTTAGAATCTGGTGTTTCAGATAGTCATAGTACACAATATTCTGTGGGTCTTGAAAATTCAGTAAAAATCATCAGAAACGGCTGGCAATATGAGGGTACCTGTTCTAAAATTGGCTGGCAGTCAATGAGTTAAAAAGGCTTTCGACACTGTCAGCCATGAAGTTATTCTAACAAAATTAACAAACTTCAACATCTCACCAGAGGAATTTCAGTGGATCAAAACTAGGGCTGTCATAATAATCGCGATAACGCACGTTAATACAGTATATTTTTTTCATTCATCGCGTTAATAAAAATGAACGTATTTGACACATGGCAAGGCAAGGCAAGTTTATTTGTATAGCACAATTTATACACAAGGCAATTCAAAGTGCTGAACATAACAAGAAAGCATTAAAATCATAAATAATCACAGAAAATTAAACAGAAAGCTAAAAATATAAAATCCTTCAGTTGTATGCACAGCTAAACAGAACTGTCTTTAACCTGGTTTTAAACATTGTCAGAGAGGAGGCCTGTCTCACATATTCAGGAAGACTGTTCCAGATTTTAGCAGCATGAATCTGAAAAGCAGCCTCCCCATGTTTAGTCCTGACTCTGGGCACTAACAGGAGTCCAGTTCCTGTGCTCCTCAGTCCGATTGACACGCCCAAGCATCCCATAATAACACTCAGAATGCCACAGACACATGTCATGGATCTATTACACACTTAAAAAGAAAACAACAGCAAGTACCCCGCGGTAAGAGAAATCAATGAATTTGCCATTCAAATGAACACATTTGAATTTTTCTTTCAAACAGATTATAATAGTGTGGCGGCAGATGTAGATAGGTAGATTCTCTATCTTTTAAAAAGGGACTCACAACCCATCTTTTTACTAAAGCGTACTGCTAATTCTTTTATAGTCTTTTATCTGATTTTATGTGTTTGCTTTTATTTATGCTCCTGTTTGTGGCACTTTGAGATTTGGTGTCAAATATAAAGTGCATTATAAATAAAATGTATTATTATTATTATTATTAAATGTGTTGAATGACGCTCAAGTGCACAGTACAGCATTTTCATCATCGGGATGACCTTTGATCCTGAAACTCTCTTCTCCTCAGACAACTCCACTGTGGCCTGATGGAAAGGAGCTAGCACAAGAAGCGTCTCCTTTAAGATTTTGTACTCATCAGCCGTGAGTGGAGTCAAGTCTGTCTGAAGAGAGGCCAGAGACACCCACACTGGTTATTTCTCATCATTTAGTCGTGACAGCATCTGATAAGTGCTGTTCCAGCGTGTTGGTACCTCGTTAATAAGTTTCAGGACTGGCCGTCCCATCTGCTGTTGCACTTGAGCAAGCTTTTCTTTGGCTCTGGTGCTGGATCTGAAAAATGTTACAATTTGTCTAGATTTGTGTCTGATGGCTGAAAGTTCAGGGATTTGATCACAGGATTTCTTCACAAATAAATTTAATTTATGTGCAATGCAAACTGAATGGCGAATTTGGAGTGTTCTGGCTGCTGCAATCATGTTTGGTGCTGCGTCGGTCACAAGACACCTCACCTTATTTGTTACAGCCCAGTCATCCAGAATGCTCCTTTTGAACTGGGCCAAATGGTCAGCTGTGTGACTTAATGGAAAGTGTCTCACTCCCATCACAGATGGACACAACTGCATATTTTCAGTGATGTAGTGACATGTAAGTGCAATGTTACAGGAGGTCCACATGTCAGCTGTGATGCTCACTGCCACAGCTTGCTGGACTTTCGACTTAACTCGTTCCAGTTCCTCCGCGTGCTTTTCGGCAAGTTTTTCCTTGAGAGTCTGAAAATGACAATCATATCAATATAATATGAATCAGACCATTTGTCATTAAAGCAAGAAAACATCCAGCAATATGGTGTTCTTTTTGAACAACCAATAGATGATAAAGGAAATTACACATTTTTCTATTTTGTGAGTAAATACCACTGTACTTTGCTGTGAAAAAGAAATGTAGCATTAAAGTGAATTTGTGGTTAAATACACATACTAATTGATGAACCATTTGAGAAACAATATTTTGGTTGTTGTGGCATGCACCTCGTGCTGGTGTACATTTAGTTATCGTTGTACCCTTATATTACATAAGTTATTACACAGGATATTGCATAAGTAATATCAGCAAATTTTTCTATACAAACTTTTCTAGATGGCAAAGTGTATGAAGGATCAAGCAGCCGAATGAGGTCCTTAAGCCCCTCACTCTCCACAATGCTGAGGGGCAGGCACTCCTTCACGACCAAATCCAGGACTGCCTGGTCCAAAGCATTCTTCCTAGATGCTGGTGTGACATAATAATACAACATATATTAATAAAACAACCATGAAGAAGTCGTTCTATATCTGTATACCTTCGTTAATGTTGGGTGTTTTTAAATCACGCTCATGCTTCGTCCTAAAATGCCTGAGCATTGAGGACGTGCTTTTATTTATATGCAAGTTTAGAAGAACAAATGCGACATTTGACCTGCATGAAATTAAATATTCATTGTAGATAACGCGTGAAACATGAAATACAAACATTACCTTATTTGCTGTTAACAAATCAAAATGATCCCACACTGCAGAATACTTTCTTTTAGTGGCAGGTTCCATTTTGACGCTGGAGAAAGGGATGTTTTTTTCTTTTTGATAGGGTTGCAATCTTTTTCTGAGAGAGATTCATCCCGGTGACACTTGCAGATGCGGAACCTTTTAAACACAGTTTGCCGCGTCGGTGACAAGCGATATAGCATCTGTATCGGTCACGTGGCTTTTTCTTAAAGCGACACGCGCGCCGATACGGGGTTTGGCTAAACGAACTCGGCACATGCGCCGCTGTATCAGTGTTGCTGGACCCATCAATACTGGTTTTCATTCACTGACCTGCACACGCTGACGTCATCTGGACTGGTCTCGGCCTCTGGTCTTGGACTTGGGCCCCGGTCCGTTGAGTACTCCGTTGAGTACTACTGTGTTCTCCACTTACTCGTGTGTATTTATTTGGGCTAAAACAAAAAACAACTTGATAAATGGAAGTTAATCACAGCAAATAAACAAAGAAGGTGCTAGCATTGCAATTTAGGGTGTATTCAGACCTGAAAAGTCCTTTGCTCCGCTTGCTTGATCCGAATCAAAAGCAGACCAAACTTTTTTCTTTTGCTCCGGTTCGTATTCAGACTGTCCTTTTTGCAAGTGAACTTTTTTATATGAACATATCGACACGTGTGACGATCGGCGCTCCTATTGGACAGCAAGAGCTCACGGAGGATAGACGCGGAACCGGCAGAAAACATTGAGATCGTATGTGCAGCATGTCTGCTCTGCCTCTGTTTGCTCTTTTTAGAGCAAAACCACCTTCAACATCAACAGCAGCTCATATGACGCAGGCGAAACACGTTGTTTTAAATATTGGAACAGCGTCGGAGAATGCGTGAGGAGAAAGCCGAAGGAGAGATCTGTCTGTGCGCTCCGTGTCATGGATCTATGATAATAACGGCCCTGTTCAGCATTGTGGATAAACCATGGATCTATAATAACCACGGGACAAACAGACGCTGAGGATCAGGTAGGAACCAAAGAACACAATTCACTACATGATGCGGGATATTTCTTTTTGAGACGTGAGTCAAACAGTGTCAGGCTTTTAATAATGCAAATGGTTTGAAGATGCTGCATTAACATCACTGTATACTGTGAACAGTATAACTCCATAAGCCTGTTGCACAGCGTCTCCTCACTGCTCCAGGTCTGCACACGGCTCAGTGTTGTTGTGTAGCGTTAGCAGCATAGTTAGCATCATAGTTAGCCGCTGCGTGGCTAATTCCTCAGTTTCTGTGTGCGGTGCTTGTTAAGCCCAAAAAATGCGCACGTATCTTGGAGTTGTGTCGGATCGACACCGGATGTATTCAGACCTGATTCGGTTTGGAC